CTTCCCGCACCTCCCTCCCCGCCGCCGCGTCGCCGGCGGCGGCGTCCGACCGCGCGCGGCCGTCGCTGTCGCCGTCTCCGGCGCGGTCAACGAGGCCAGGAGGCGCCCGCCGCAGGATGGCGGGGAGGGGAAGGAGACGGATCTCGCCACGCTCGGCAACCTCTGCGTCGACGTCGTGCTCAGCGTGCCCTGCCTCCCGCCCGCGCAGCGCGAAGAGCGCCTGGCCTACATGGAAGGCCTGGCCGCCTCGCCGCCCGACCAGGTCGAGCCCCAGCCCGTTCGCTTGTTGCGGTGCGCGAAACCTCTGTATTCGCACTCCACACCCCCAAATTGTTCTGCCGCCGTTTATAATTTAGGGCATCTGCGGCTCTCTGCTGCCTAATCGTTATAATTTGTCGTTAGAAATGGCATCGGGTGAGAATCGTCAGGGCTGTAGCTTCGTTCTTTTTGTGTGGTTCTAGATGCACATGCTGCGATTGCATGATTTACATCTCCTTGCTTTCACTAGTCGATGTAAGAATGCACACGTTCTATTTTTTCTGATTGATGCGTTGCGACCAGAAATGTGAACATGTGATGAAAACCCTAGGCATCAGAACTGAGTTGTCGTTTTATTATGCAACATCCATCTGTATGCTGTTCTGAGTATGTCTTTTATCAACTGAATAGAAATATTGGGAGGCTGGTGGGAACTGCAATTTGGCCTTTGCTGCAGCTAGGCTTGGGCTTCGCTGCTCCACACTGGGACATGTAGGAGAGGAAATTTATGGAAAGTTTCTTCTTGATGTGCTTGAGGCCGAAGGCATTAGCGTTGTTGGGATGCTTGAAAATGCTGATGTTACTGCATGTCGACAAGCCTATGAGACGCTTCTATGCTGGGTTCTTGTAGATCCATTTCAAAGACATGGATTCTGCAGGTTAGTTCTCATGCACTCCCTATCATACTAAAAATACCTTAGCCTATATTCTTGCCTATGTGATTTATGCGTTACTAAATATTTATTGGTTGCAACTTCAGCCGTGCAGACTTTAGTAAAGAGCCAGCTTTCAGTTGGATACGTAAACTTCCAGCAGAAACCAAGATAGCCATTCATCACTCTAAAATATTGTTTAGCAATGGATATGCTTTTGATGAATTTTCCCCTGATGTGATTGCATCTGCTATTGATTGTGCGATTGATGCGGGAACATCAGTATTCTTTGATCCTGGGCCTCGTGGAAGATCTCTCTTACATGGGAACCGGGATGAACAGAGAGCACTGGAGCACGCTCTGAGGCTCAGCGATGTTCTCCTTTTGACGTCAGATGAGGTTAGTTCACCCATATATAAGCCCTGAAGTTGGATGAGTTTGCAGGATTATGTCTGATTTACTATTTGGTTATGTATGCTGCTTGGGCACCCATTTATATTCGAGTTCTCACCCGTTTTTTATTCAAGTTCTGTGATGATTTGGTGGTTTGGCTGCCTTCATAAACCTTTGTGACTGAACTGGCTTTGCATGCCTTCCTGAAAGTTTGGTGTTACATCTGTTTACATAAGAGCTATCGTATATATCCAGTGCAATAGATGTCTTGTAGTCACATTCATTTGCTTGATGGGTTTCTCTGGTAAAAACGAATCAAATATCGTACGTTCCAGATGCCTTCTTTGCGTTCACACTCTTCCAGATTTCTTCATACCTGTGATTCCATGTGTAACTGTCAATGATCAGTACTATATAGGCCGTGCTTCTAGTTGGCACATTGAACTTTTCTCTGAATGTTTGCTTTCTTCTGATAACTAAATAAAAAAATGCTAACACTTGTCCTGAAATAAGACTGAGAGGTATCCCAGTGGCAAGCACCAACTGCTTTTCTAAAGATTTTTATTTGCTGAATTCAACCTGGCTTAGAGGACAGTGAATGAGTGCGCTGTACTTATTCTAGCATTTTGTCGCCTCATTTCTCACATATTCCTGTTTATTGCTTTGACAGGCTGAGTCCCTAACCAACATCGGAAACCCAATTCAGGCAGGGCGAGAATTGCTAAGAAGAGGAACCCGAACAAAATGGGTTGTCATCAAAATGGGTTCTAAGGGCTCAATCATGATCACCGAAAGTGCTGTTTCATGTGCACCTTCTTTTAAGGTACTTGCTGTGCTGACGAAGGATCTTTGTGCTCTTGGCACAAGTAATGGAAGTTATTTTTCCTGAATTGTCATATACTTGGTATTCACCATGCTTTGTATTTCCATAGATCCGCGTCATGGACACGGTTGGATGCGGAGATAGCTTCACTGCTGCTATAGCTTTCGGGTTCCTCCACGGGTTGCCGGCGATTAGCACACTAGCACTAGCAAATGCAGTTGGTGCTGCGACCGCCACCGGATGTGGAGCAGGTAGGAATGTCGCTCACCTAGATAAAGTACTGAATCTCTTGAGAGAGTCCGATATCAACGAGGAAGGAAAAACATGGACCGAGTTGATTGAAGGATGCTCTGCCTGTCCTGAAGTTTCAGTCCTGTCCAAGACGCCAGTCAATGGTTCCAATGACCGCTTTGTGAATGTTGTCCCTGTTAGCGGTGTGGTTTCCGACCTTTTGTCGATGCTAGAGGTGGCACCGGAGCGAAGCACCATCCAGGCTTAATGCCATGCTGAGTAGTAGATTGTTGTATTTTTTTAAAATGCGTATAGATTCTTTTTTATTTTTACTGGTTCATCATGCTGCTCTCAGGTGATGAACGATTGTTCAAAGCCCAGGCTTCTTTGAAAGCCTTTTGCTGATGAGAATGTGATTTTACCAAGTGGCAAGTGTGGTGCGAGTCATCTTCCACATGATGATTTGATAAAAAAAGGTGATTTTGGTAGTTTCCCCCTTTCTTCGTGTGATCTATTGATAACTGTGCAGTGGCCGTCTATCTTTGCCTAACTACGGTTATGTCTCAGTTTGCGATTGTTGAAGTGTGTCGTGCTTATTTTATAATCTGTTGTGGCAAGTTAGCCATAGAAATAGATTAAAGCGGGTCAAGCAAACACTAAGGGCCTGTTCGGATTCGCTCCCCTCCACAACTCTGCTCCTGGAGCTGGTGGAGCGGCAGTTCGAAATCGCGAAGTGGGGAAGGAGGTGCTCCACAGATCCTGAGATTTCACGGAGCGGGAGGATTGCCTAACAGCCCCTAAAATATACGTGATCGATGATGACACCATGGTCTGAGATCCTGAGATTGACTATCAAAACGGTGATGACGAAACGGTGATGACGAAACGGTGATGACGAACCCTAAATGTAGTGTGTGTTGCCTGTGCGGTCGACTCTTCCTAAGTCTCCGCATTACCTCAGCTCCTAGGATGGCGATCTTCTCTACATGTAGTGCAAACTGAAATCCGAGGCCCTGGCGGAAGCATGACTGCTCCACTGTGGCTGTCAACCCGGGGAATAAGTTCGAAGCGCTCGTGCTATTTTCTGCTTGTAGAATTCCACTTCTCCTCCAGCCTAGTTACATTCCATGTCCCTTCTCCTGTTCCCCAGTCACCTCGGTGCAACACAGAAGCATGCATCGTATCCCAGGTTTTGCAAGGTCACAGCGAGATTACTGCCATACTTCCCAACTGGGGGCACTGGGCATCATGAAGTTCGCGTGTTATCGCCGATCGACACACGTCGACAGACAAAGAAAATAGAGACTGGAAAAGAATCTCCACATTGTAATATGTAATATGTCAATAAACATCATGACACGCTACCAAGTCCTTCGGTTATTTCGACACTGCTGAAACAATAACTTGTTTCTTTCCAAGTCCAAGAAACAGTAACTTGTGCTATATGTTCCATTTGGATATGACACAAGGTCAGAGGTTACTTAAGGATACACAACGGAGGAACTGTGTAAGATCTAATGATCACCCTGATTCAACAAGTTGTTGCTGTAGGTTACAAGGAAAAAGAGTAGAGTAATGCTAGGGATCACATTATATAACACCAAGTGACTGAATGTCTGGAAGTTCATACACTACACTGGTAATTGGTGAGATGTGTCCTGTGTGAGATTATTGACTTGAGGCACTTCGATGGAAGAATCAACCTAAGGCTAATAATTTCAAAAGATATTTGCAGTACATTTGGTGGACCTCATACAATGCATAAGGTCTGCTGAACATCAACCTATCCTGATACACATCCTATAAGCTATACTACATATTTTGTTTTTCCACAGCATGTTCTCAAACTCATTGCCAACAGATGGGCTACAACTATGGCCTATTATTACCTTCTGAATGCTGAACAATTTTGAGCTCATAGAGCTGTCCTATCTCTCTGCTCGGTAGCAATTCTTCGGAGCTCCCTCAAATGACTAGTTATCTCCTGCACATATTGTTCTGCATCACTACTACATTTAAGAGAACTCAATATCTGCTTGAGAAACTTCTGATCTGCTTCAAGTGCCATGAATCTACTATTCAAGAGCAAAATTTCTTGTTTAATGCTTTCCATGGAACTAATTTTATCGTCATCTGAGCGCGAACATGGGCCAACATATTTTTGATTCTCAGCAGATTGATTTTCATCATTTCGTTGTAAAGAGACTGATTCATCTTTCAAGTCTTCCTGAGGCAATGGTGAACTTTGGCATTCTGATTCTGGGTTTTCTACATATTGGCCAGGCCCATCACTTGGGTGATCTCTCAGTGATTCATCGTTCAAGTCTTCCTGAGGCATTAGTGAACTCCGACATTCCAATTCTGAGTTTTCTGCATGTTGGCCAGGCCCATCACTTGGATGATCTCTCAGTGATTCATTGTTCAAGTCTTCCTTAGGCATTAGTGAACTCCGACATTCCAGTTCTGAGTTTTCTGCATGTTGGCCAGGCCCATCACTTGGATGATCTCTCAGTGAGTCATCGTTCAAGTGTGGTTCCTCGTTCAAGTGCTCCTGAGGCAATAGTGAACTCCGACATGCCAATTCTGAGTTTTCTACACTTTGGCCAGGCCAATCACTTGGATGATCTTTCAGTGACCCACTCTGTAGGCTATCAGTTGTGCCACCCAAATCAAATCTATTTGTGTAAGGCATGCCAAGTGTTTCCTCTAATCTGCTCAAGGATTCCAAAATTTTGGCCTTCTCATCTTCAAAACCAAAGATGGTATTCCTCACAAAATCTGAGTTATCCAAGACTCTGAGTGCCATATCTCCATCAATAGCGTCAAATTTTCCGAGATCAAATGGTTCCATGCGGAACCTGCTCTCATAACTTTCGAGTTCAGCTTCCAGGTCAAGCAATTCTTTCTCTCTTTCTGTAAGCAAGTCATTTAGCTTTCCAATTTCTTCTTGGTCATGATCAGCCTGCTCTTCCATCATCCGGAGATACTGCAGCGCCTCCATGTGCATTGCAGCCTTTTCCACTTGCAACCTATTGATCATGGCCATCGCTTCACTTGCTGCGACAGACGAAGCACTCCGTTCTGCCTCGAGCTCTTTATAAAGGATGCTTAGTTTTTTCTTGTTAAGCTCACATTGCTTCTTCAGGGACTCAAGGGAGATCTCACCTTCAGCTTCAGTTGGAACATGGCCATCAGATGGTTCCAGATCAAGGAATTGTCTGCCATCAGTGGCATCAGAGTGACTGTACTCATCAATCTGTATGCTGATTCTGGGGCTAGCAGCCACCTCACTCCAAGGACCATCGAGGCCTCGTGCAGAAGACAACTGGGACATGAATGTCTTCACTTCTTCATGTGTTGTTGAATTGGTTTCCTTAGCGGAGATTACTTCAGACCATCGAGGAGATCTAAGATTGCCTCTACCACCAGGAGCATTCTTCATGCTACTGTTGCGGTTGACATAATGGTTTGTAGTTGAGCGGGCCCCGTTAGATGCAGAAGCTTCCTGGTCAGGGCTTCGTGAAACACCCTCTAAATCGCCGACCTCCTCAGTACCAACCAGAAAAGCTACATTTCACAAATTTGACATTCTCAGAAATAGTTCAAGTTAGATAAGGATTATAGCATTTTGGAAAACGATACATACTTTTCTGTTTCGGAAGCTCCTGACGAACTTGCCCAGGCACAGCCTTCGAGTGCTCGTCAAGATCTCTGGTTCGACGTTTAGCTTCATAAGGCTTTGCATCGCTGCCAACATCATCATCTGAGACATGAATCTCTGATTGAGAGTCATGTAGCTTTCTGTAACCTCCGTAAGGCAATTGATCAAAATCCTCATCCGAAGAATGCCCAACGCTTGCCGTGGCCATGCTTCTCTCCTTCACTTTGCTCATGCCATCATTCTGAGGCCTGCCACTCACCTCCTCAAATAACTTGTGCGCGTTGTCTCTCTTCGTGAATGGCTCCGAACAACAAGAACATCGTTGTGTGTGCCCCGCCTTCTCCTTAATGCTCATGTTTGTTGGGTTACCTGGTTTACCAACTGGTCCAGAGCATGAAAGCAAGCACTTTCCACATAGATCATCAGAATGTGCGAGCTTGCTGTGAATCTGGCAATACGATAAACGCGCGATTTCCACCCTGTGTGCTGCACAAACCAGCTCCTCCGAGAACCAGGCCTTGTCATGCAGAACCTTGTCCAATCTTGAGCACAGCATGCACGGTGAGCGGATCCTGCAGATGCGCGCGAACCTCGTCGCGGTATACGACACCACGGCGACCACAAGCAGCATTACGATGAGGAAGCACTCGCTCAAGGCATGGCACAGCACCAACCAGAATCGCCGCCAAGAGTATCGCGGCCTCGCACGAGCTTTCGCAGCCATGAAAGATCAGGGTACCGGTAATTTGCATGTAGGTTGCTCAAATGCCCAGCCTGTCCTGTGAACCTCCCATTAGTGCGGCACAAATATTCTCAGATCACACCAGATTGTAAATGAGGAAACATCAATCCTGCAACCTTGGTTACTCATGCCAACGTCGGGTTCCATAAGATGGAACTCAACGGAACTTCGCCGATGAGCCAAATTTCTGCAATAATCACGA